TTTCCCTTCCAGACCAAGTATTGCAGTAAGACGACTTATTTTTTCCTTTTTTTTCCCTTTTTTCTTTTTTTCTTTTCTTTTTCTCCCCAATCTATTCTTATTCTATACGCACAGTACGGGTTAAAAAATCTCTGCCGAAACAAAGAGCAAAGCACGAAGCACATCAAAGCCTGGGGACGGGCCCTTGGAACAGGGATCGGGATGGGCACCGGGGCCATTGTCTGCCTGACACCCAATGCCACCGGCTCCGCTCCGCAGAATGGGGCCTTTTCTCCCCAAATGGGGCCTTTTCTCCCCCGAACTCCTTTGCTCCACGAAGGGCAGCAGCAGCGACGGTCCTGGACAGGGCCCATGGACGGGCTGCGCTCGGGCTGCGTTCCTGCAAACCTGGAGCTCTGCAGTGAATAAACAGCCCCGGCTTCTCCCGTCCCCGGGCAGGGCGATGCGGGGGCTGCGCGCGCGGCTCCCCGCTCTCCTGCCCTCAAACCGCGCGTCGCCGCTCGCCCAGGCGCGCTGGGACCCTCCAACCCGCCCAGCGCCCGCGATGGGGCTCCCCGCGTCCCCCAACCCGCCCAGTGCCCACGATGGGGCTCCCCGCGTCCCCCCGTGCCCCCGAGGGGACGATGGAACAAGATGCAGAGCGAAAAACCCCTTGTGTTCCCCGCTACCCGAGTGCCCTGTTTTCTAGGCTGGGAAAGAAACTGATCCTGGTGTAAAAGCACTAATGGAGGGAGGGGGAGAGAGTTTCTTGGGTGGGGGCAAGAAGGAGGCGCAAGGTGGGATTTTTCACCCTGGAAAAAATATAAAAGCCCTCAGTATTTAAAGCTAAAAAGCAACTTTCTCTTCTGCTTTTCCCTTCTTCCCTTCCTCCTGGGAGACAGAGCAACGCAGGGAAGAGGAATCACTGGAGAAGGCTGGTGGGAGCGGGGAGGGAAGCACGAACATGCCGGGGAGGTGGAAAATTTCAGTGAAAATGTTCCTTTTTGAGAGAGGTGGCTTTTCCCCAAAGAAATAAAGAAGGTTTTCTTCTTTTTTTTCCCTTTTTTTTTCATGAAAAGTTTCAGGCAGTCCCATTGTTTCGCTGTGGCCTTTGATTTAACCACTTGCTCAGGCATTTGACAAAACCCTCCATGTTTTGCAGGAGGTTCCTTAAGTCCCACCGAAGTTTGGGATTACGGGGGACAACAAATGGCAAAGCTGTCTCTAACCCCACGGACTTTCTCACTCTCGTTTTCTCCCTCACTTTGGAATACAAAATGCAGCGCTCCCCGCTGAGCTCCCTTTAAAATTCACATTGTCCCTTCCAATAAAGGCCGGGAGGGTGAGGTGGTGCTTTGAAAACCACAACGCGCTCCTGTATTGCCAGGCCACATCCTAGAGGATTATTCATTCTCTCTTGGGACACTTTATAACTCCATGAGAAGTTATGGTTTGTCTCTCTGGGTGAGCAAGGGCTGCTCCGTCGGGATGAGCATCCGCATCCCTGCGCCCAAACTGCGCTGTTCCCCCGGAGCCCTCGTCCCAAGGGGATTTGTGTCGGATGTCACCGCGGCATCGCTCATCCCACCACATGGATTTGCCTCAGGGATTTGAGGCCACCATAAAGCGCAATTCTGCTCTGCCTGCGGGGACAGCCAGGCCCACGTCACGCACCGATGTCCCTGCAAGGAGGAAGCCCCCACGCTGCCCATCTCCCCGAGGCTGCTTGTGCTGTCCAAAAAGTGAATCCTGCAACGTTTGCAGGGCTCCTCTGCCGCTTCCAGTGCAATCCCTCGACCGCGGCTGCCGGGAAGCTGCCTCCCGCGCTCCTGAAACGCTCCAGGCTGAAGGAGCATCTTGTTCCCACCAGAAGTCACCAGCAGGGCAGCGTGGCCGCGCTTTTGCTGGCAGAGTGGCTCTGGGCAGGGGAATGAATAGAGGCCTTTTCCTCGCCCGTCACCTCTCACAGGCATTGCATTTCGCTAACAAAAGCTTAAAAGCAAAGGGGGGGAGTTGAAGCCGGCGACTTCCTTTGCTGTTGTTTCATTCTGTGTCTTTTCCCAACGCTGCAAAGGGAGAAATAAGGATAATAAACGAGCAGATGGAAATGGAAAGCGCTGCACATTTGGGTTTTAAAGGACCCTATCACCAGGTTGTTACTTTGTGATGGCACAATCCACCCCACCGCCTGTCCTGGGACAGGGTTTCCAGCAGCAGCAAGGACACACCGGGCTGACGGATCAGCCCAGGTGCTACCGGCGCTGAGGTGACCCTGTCCTTTTTAGCCCAAGACTTTTTTAGTCCAAGACGTCATCGTGCCCAACGCTTTGCAGCAAGGAGGAGCTGGCACGCAGAGGACGCGCCATGCGGCGCTCGCCAAACTCTGCAAGCAGGAGGGACCCTGCGCTGTCCTGCGCCTGCACCCAGCGTGCCGGGGCAATGGGCTTGATGTGCCCGGGGTTTTTGGCAGCCTTTCCATGAGCTCATGTACAGCTCCTGCCTGTGGGCTGCAAAATGCGGCTGCGGTGAGGAAAGCGGCCCAGGATTTTGGGGGAAGGAGATGCTTTTGGGAAGCATTTTGGAGATGCTCGGGTGCAGGGATGAGGAGCTGGGGATCATCCTGACCTCGAGGGTCTGGCCAGTAGAGGCTGGCTGGGACCAGCCAATATCCTTCTGTTTGTGTATTGCGGACCAGACGGGCTTGCTCCATGTGATGGAGGGATTCTGCCGGCCTTGCTGCAACAAATACAGCGCTGTAAACTCCCCGTATGGGAGAGCAGCAGGGTAATACCAGGGTAACCCCAGGTAATGGACACAAACTGCTGGTGCTTTGCCAAGTGTCCCTGCCCCAACACGTGTGGCAGGGGGATCCCTTGTGCACATGTTCAGCTGCTTGTGGGGCTGGAGTACGAGGGAGGACAAGTGTCCTGAGCGCTCCGGTGTCGGCGTTTGAGGCCTGTGTGCTCCCCAACTTGAAGGCAGCGGAAGAGTGAGTGGAAAAACGAGTCAGTTTTTACAAGTCTTTCATGTACCGAGTTCAAACCTGCCACAGAGACGTTAAAATTTATCAGCTTGCTGACTCTATTAAACGTGGAGCGCTGCTGAAACGCTGCAGCTCGGGTTAAAAGCAAAGGCTGCTCGGCCCTGCTGTTTCTGGTGCGCGGCGGGAAATGTTGCTCTCAGTTTTGGGGCGTTTGGGGGCGTTTTGGGGCCGGGCGCTCGGCGGGGC